AACCCCTACAAATATTCAAACTAAAGGACATGGATATTCTCAAGACTCATCGACTCACACTGAATTATCCCTATGGAAATTATGAAGGATGAAATCTGGAGGATTTTCGAGTTACGCCTGAAAGTCATCTAAATTAATTGCCTTTCTTGCCAATGGATGAATCACAACATTTTCAGTTTTTCAAACAAAACCAAAATCTTATTGCTTCAGCACTTGATAATAAGAATATCCGAAGCAGAAAAATATGATAAGTTTTCATTGGTTGGATCAAACTAGTTTTAAGGTTTTATAAGATCCTAACCATTACGTCCAAACTCTAAAGTTGACTAGCAGGATTTAAACTCGTGTACTCTGATATCATCCTAAGTCCTTAATCTTTAAAGCAAAACTCTAAAATTATGGTAAGTTTTGAGGATTGTAATTTTATATTCCGACAATACTGAACCTCTAAAATGTATATGATTTTAATTATGAGCTATCTATCACATTGCTCATGTCCAATTACGAAGATATCCGTAATTAAAAGTTCTGACTATTAGGACGTAGTCCATATAATATCTCTTGCTTGAGTAATAGCAAACCCTCATTTAGTATCAATATTTATTTGAGATGATATAATACAAGTAGATACAGATATATGGAGTGTATAACGTGAAACGACATGAAAATTAGCTCAAAAGCTGATTTTAACCTCCTAACCATTAATGGTAAGCATTCAACATCGATTGTAGGAAAATCTCATCATTAATGGTCAACAACACTCATCGATGATTTTTATCCCAAACACTTTCATATCATCGATGGGCTTCTTAATTATTGATGCAGCCTTTGTTGTGCGCGGCGGAAGCTTTCTAGGGCAACACGAACAATAACTCGAACAATAACTCGAACTAAACCACAAACAATATGCAAACCACAATCACAATAAGAACAAAGAATTTACGTGGTTCGGCAAGTAGTCTACGTCCACGGGGCAAGGAGGGGGGAGATTTTACTACTAGAAATCAAGGGAATACAAATAGGGTTACAAATCTCTCAGACCAAACCCTAAAACAAAGCACTTGATCTCTCAAAGCTCTCCCACAATTGGATGCCACAAATCTCTCTTAGAGGCTGCTCAAAATCGTCCTCCAGATACCCTAACAAATCAGGTTTAGGATATATATAGCTTACAAAACGAAACGGGTCAAAAACCTGAAAGCCTAGCCCAAAACGACGTCGGTCGACCGGTGCGGTCGACTGCGCAGGTCTCGCGGTCAACCGCACCGGTCGACCGAATCATCAAACCCGAGAGCAGAAAATCCTACAGTCATCCTCGGTCGACCGCGCCGGTCGACCGCCGTCGACCGCACTGGTCGACTGCCACGCACTCTGATTCCCATCAGCTTCGGTGCACGTTTGCGGTCGACCGCGCCGGTCGACCGCCCAACTCTCTGCTGATTTTTCTGAGTTTCTGTAATTTCTTCAATTCTCCACCTCGGCGAATGTTTCCATCAAAACTGAGCCGACACCAAATCATCCAATAGTTCCTCAATAAGTCCAGGAACTATACTCGAGCTGAAACGCGATCTCCCCCCATCTGAATCAACTTATCAAACCGGCTGCATCTGAAAGACTGCCTACGTATCCTCTTGCCCAAGGAATCAAGCCGAACGTAGTTCACCCAAATGACCTCCAAAGACCTCAGCACTGAAGGATGTTCAAAAGCTTCAAACAATGACCAAATTTCACTCCTGAAACAACTTTGGTCAACATATCTGCAGGGTTGTCATTTGTGTGGACCTTCTCCAATATGACATCTCCATCATCCAAGACGTCCCGTACAAAGTGGAATCTGACGTCGATGTGCTTCGTGCGCGCATGATAAACCTGGTTCTTCGCCAAATAGATAGCCGACATACTATCACAATATATCCGAATAGTCTCCTGAGCGATCCCCAAGTCCTCCAATAATCCACGCAACCATAAAGCCTCCTTAATTGCTTCAGTAACCGCCATATACTCTGCCTATATAGTAGAGAGAGCCACTGTGGACTGAAGCGTGCAACGCCAACATACAGGTGCACCTGCCAATGTAAAAGCATAACCTGACGTAGACCGGCGTTTGTTAAGATCTCCAGCATAATCCGAATCCACATATCCAATACAAGCCTACCCATCCTTCTCATCCTTCTGAAATACTAAACCAACATCCATGGTGCCTCGAACATACCGTAGAATCCACTTCACGGCCTCCCAGTGACCCTTCCCGGGGTCGTGCATGTATCTCGATACCATGCTCACGGCCTGTGACAAATCTGGCCTCGTACACACCATCGCATACATCAAGCTACCTACTACACTAGCATATGGGACCTTCGACATATAATCTCTGTCCTCAACTGAAACAGGTGACATCAACGCTGAAAGCTTGAAGTGGGGAGCCAATGGTGTGCTAACTGCTTTTGCATTGCCATCAAAGCTGAATTTCTTCAACATCTTCTGCAAGTAGCTCTTCTGTGTAAGCTTCAATTTCCCCTTCACCCTGTCTCGCTCGATCTCCATACCCAATATCTTCTTTGCCTCTCCAAGATCCTTC